AGTGGTGACATCATTGGGATTGCATGGGAAACCAACGATGGTGCACCTGAGGTAGTTATATCAGATTCGATTCAACAGTAGAGAAGTTGTGACGGTTGGATGATATTAGGGTTAAGGGTAAAAACTCTAATGTATTTTGATCTGAACCATTGCATGGATTTCAGATATAGTAGACTAGGGTGCGTGGCAGCTAGGATTAAGTAGAAACCCTAGGTTTCATAATGTGGGATGAGCATTTGGGTCTTGTAATTAGGCTGATGGGTTTAATTTTTTGTTTTAGTTTTGTATATATCGGACTTGATTTTTATATTATAATAATATTAAAAAAAAGACGGATGAAAATGGGTGCAAACAAGAATCTTTGGTTTTTTTCTTGAAATCTTCATAATATGACAACTTTGTCTTCTTTATTTTATGATACATTAACTTACACCGATATAAATAAGATTATGCCCCTAATCGAATATATAAATTTTTGAGGAAAATAATTACTTACACTAATGTAAATAATTTAATAATATTTTTATTATAAATAATTTTAACTAAATTATTGTAATATTTTAAAAATATTTATATATATATATATATATTATAATAAATAATATTACTTATTTTATTTGATATTTATAATGAATATTTTTTTCCAAAAAAAATGATCAAACAACAAAAATGATTTACATTACATCATTCAAATAACAAAAAAATCATTTTTGAAAATCATTTTTTTAGAAAATGTAATTTATTTTTCACAATTCACTTTATGATGACGTGTTCAATAAAATAAACAAACTATTAGATTACACAGCTTCTTCTTCAATATAAATTCGTATTTTCAATAAAAAAAACTAATACAAAAAAATATAATTGTGTCAAAATAAATTCATTCACAAAATCTAACAAGTTTTACCTTGGCACGAGTTCTTGAAGTGCAAGATAAGATGATAAAATCACAATCTTATAAAAATTGTTATCTTAAGAACATATGCATCTCTTCTATGAAACTTCTAAAGCATATTAATCAACAAAGAATGTTAACAAAATTCAAGGCATGCACAAGTTTGGATGTATAAAGTAACTTAATATTCACATCGATAAAAACATCATAAGTGTCAATTTTCTCACAATTGTATCACTATGAGCAATATCACGTAGAATATGATACCGATAATTGATGGCATTTTTATCTATATTTTTAACCACGTATAATGCATTAGTCTCATTTAATCTCTATGTAGTTCTAGTTTCTTTTAATAGATGGTGACCAAAATGAAATTAAAATATAATGTTAGATATGATTTAAAAAATTAAAAGATTAAAACAGAATCACACAAATAAATAGGTGACTAAATACGTAGTTTATAATTTTTTTATCCCGTACTACATCAGCGTTGGTATGGGTGGTTGTCTCCACCTTTTGTTTTGCTGTTTCTTTCGGCTTAGGACTACCTTGTTTGTTTGAGTTTTTGTCGACCCCTTTTGTTTTGTCTCCAAGTATAGACCCACTTTTGCTATAATTTTTTTTCTCATTCTTTAGTGAATACATTTCTTTGATTAAAAATAAAATAAATCTATGGACGTAGAGATTCATGGTTTTAAGATTACATGTTTGAAAATTCCAAGAAAATGCCTTTCTCAAGCAACTGCTAGTATATGCTTTCTTTATGGGTAAACTACTTGGATGACCACCCAACTATGTGTTGGTATCGAAATGACCACCATTTTCAAACCATTGAACTATTTAAAAGGGTTCAATATAACCACTAGCCGTTAAAATCTAAGGGAGGGTGATGTGGCAGTTAATAAAAATTTGTATAATTACACATTTGATCCTCAATACTTGTATATTCTATCAATTTAGTCTTAATTAATTTAAAAACTCTCCATCAAGTTATGGCATGTATCACTATTAAAATATGTCTCAATAATCGGTTGACACGTGACACATTCAGATTGGAGGGTTAATTTTGTAATTAAATTAAAATTAGGACTAAATTAATGGAATATACAAGTATTGAGGATCGAATATGTAACTATACAATTTTTTGTTAGCTGTCGCGTCACTCTTCTGTTAGATTTTAATGGCTAGCGGTTATATTGAATTCTTTTAAATAATTCAGTGGTTATATTGACACAAATTTCAAAATGATGGTCATTTCGATACCAACTCATAGTTGGGTGGTCATCCGAGTAGTTTACCGTTTCTTTATTTATAATGGTCAACAGTCCATTGAAATAAAATTAATCAATTCTTTACTTCTTTAATTTGTTTGATTCATTTGCATTTACAGGACAAGTGTAAATTGGATAATGTCAAGTGCCCAAATAGAAACAAACAATAAACATTTATTAAGGAAGCTAAAGACAATTTAGGCCTAATCTTTTCTCTCCCTACCCCTACCCTACCCATGAGGAAGAAACAAAATTCCAAGACCCACTGATAACCAAAGGCACAAATTAGGGGCCGGGATTAGGGTGTATTCGATTCGATTTTTTTAATAAAAGATGAATCAAATCATATTATTTTAGTTTTTAAAAATAAAATTGAAATTGAATGATATAAAAATTAAAATTTTGTGTTAAATTTAACTTGATTTGACTTGGTTTTGTAATTTTTAATTGTTCATTTTTTTTAAATTCAATATCAAGAAAATAAAACTAAACTTCAAGCTTAATTATATTGAAAACACATATGTTTAAATTCAAAAATAATAATATTATTAATTCTGATATATTTTTTTATTTTCGCAATTTAATTACTCAACCGTAACTGGTGTTGGGACATGGACAAGATATTTGAAATCCCCACTCAACCATTTTATTAGATGTAATACATATAATATTTTCTATTCAAATTAATTGAATTAATTGGTGCACGAATCAATTTTCCTCTATGATTAAAATAATCGTTGTTGTTTTTAGAGGTTATGGGTTCGAGCACAACGACTTCAACAGGGTGATTGAGTGTTTATTGTTTAATGATTGATAGTATTTAGAACAAATACTACTTAATAATCGCTTTAGTTTAATAAAAATAATAATTGGTTATTTTCGCAATAAGTACACGTCTAATATATATATATATATATATAATTCCCATGTTAAGTTAAAATTAATTTTAATGCTTACACTGATAATTAATATAATATTTTTTAAAAATAGTTAAATTATTAAAACTAATATTTAGAATTTAATTCAGATTATATATTTCTTCTTAAATTTATTAAACCGGATGAAATCCTTTTAGGTTTATGTATATCTATAGACAGTTCTAAAGGGAATGGGAATGGGAATGGGAATGGGAATGGGAATGGGAATGGGAATGGGAATGGGAATGGGAATGGGAATGGGAATGGGAATGGGAATGGGAATGGGAATGGGAATGGGAATGGGAATGGGAATGGGAATGGGAATGGGAATGGGAATGGGAATGGGAATGGGAATGGGAATGGGAATGGGAATGGGAATGGGAATGATAATGATGGGGTAACAACATTTTCCTATATCATATAATAATTATGCAAAACACAGGAAAAGATAGGTAAAAGTTATGAATTATTTCAAGAGATGACTCACTAGTAATAATGATGATGGTGATAATAATAATAATAATAATAATAATAATAATAATAATAATAATAATAATTTAATATTATGTTATTTAAAATAGGTATAATGTTAAAATTCAGTTTAATGTTTATTAAAATGATCATTTTATCTCTATTTAATTTTTTGAAGAATTTTGGGTCATAAGTCACAATATTTTATTTTACAATAAAAATGCTCTAACATTTTATAGAATAATCACTTTGATCCTTTTTTTATTTTGTGATGGTTCTCAACGTTTCATTTTAGTTTAAAAAACACATATTTTGGAGTGTTAATTGTGTGTTAACTAATGATTTTCATCGATAGAGGGAATTTTTTGCCCTAAAGTGAAACGTTAGAGTTAAAATACTCCAGAAAAAGAATAAAGACAAATAAGTTTTGGAGCTATTTTTGATATTATGCCTTTAAAATATTAAAATTTTTAATTTTAATCTTTAAATTTTAAAAATCAGAACTAACCCCTAAAAATTAAATTTCATATCTTTATATTTAAAAGGAAATAAATAATGTTAAAATAAATTAATTAAACTTTATATATAATGTGTATTGAACAAGTTTTTTTAAATTTAATAATTGATTTTAAATTTATTAATTAACTGATCCAGATTAAATTTTAAAAAAAATAATTATGAGGGTGATCGTTTCAATTTAATTTTCTCCAGGTCTAATATTAGAAATCAAATCTCTAAACTTTTTTTAATAGTTTAAAATAATTATAAGGTAATATTTGTTTAAATCTTTTTTAGTTATTGACAATATACCTATATGTTATAGATGCAACAACTGGTAGATGTATGTACTATCCAGGCTGTGCACGTGGTCGTTCTGAAATATGAATTTATTTATGTTAGTTGTTCATTTTAGGTGTCGCCTTAAAATTTTATTCGTGTTTATCCCATACGATTTTATTTGTTTTTTAATACATATGTGTCTAATCTAAAAAAATATTTTTGGATCCGCCATTGAAAACAATTGTTCAAACCAAAATTTTTAAATAAAATAACACTTTTTTTATCATTAAATTCAATTAATAAATTTTAAAATCTAATACTTCATCACATTAATCCAATAGAAGGTTAGTGTATCAAATAAGTTTTAATAAGTTTTTTTAATGATAATAGTTAAGTAATGAAATGGAAAAGAGGAAAGAGGATGACGCTAAGCTAAGTCATCATTTTTTGTGGGTTAAGACAAGCAGATTTGTGGGTCAAAGCACTTCAGGGTGTTGGGAATAATTAAAATATATAAGCTGTCTGAATGAAAATTTCGGTGAAAAAGACATGAATTCACATTGGTAGAGAAATTAGCAGATTCCATTATTAATCGCTCTCTCTCTCTCTCTCTCTCAAGGTCTTTTATTCATTATATAATAACTCGTTCTAAGCTGGTTCATCTTCACGTTTTCAAGCTTGTCTTCTTCGACCAGTTCTCAATCAGACATATTTTTAAAATAACATATTGTGTGTGCAAGAGAGAGCAGGGAATGGAGCTGTCACAGCATGGCTTCTTGGAGGAGTTATTAACTCCGAGAAGAGACACCTTTTCAAATGGAGTGACCGAGTTCTTCCCTAACGGATGGAACCTCGACTCTTTTGATCAAAATCCCACATTGGCCACAACCCCAAATCTTTCCTTTCTGGGGTTCTCCACAGCAACAGATGAAAACCGTAGCTTTGAATGTCATTTCAACGATCATCAGCCCTACCCTTTTGCAGCTGATGCATCATTTACGGTGCCGGAAATGGATTCTTCAACCTCCATTTTTCCAGCTGCTCATGAAGACTACCCATCGATGGTTGACGATGAAGATCAGTTTGGCCTTCTCAGCACCGACCACCAGCAACACAGCTTGGAGGAGATCATGAGCAGTTGCAAAGTCGAGATGGAGCAAAGCAGCAACATTCAGGGTTTCAACATGGACTTGGCGGTGGAGAAGAAGACCAAGTGTAAGAGGTTAGAAGGTCAGCCTTCAAAGAATCTAATGGCAGAGAGAAGAAGAAGGAAGAGGCTCAATGACAGGCTCTCAATGCTCAGATCAATTGTCCCCAAGATCAGCAAGGTTACCCTGCTTCTCTTATTTGTTAAAAGTTTCATTTTTTAGCATTATTTTTAGTTAAGTTTGATAGACTTCTTCTGGGATTGACAGAAGAAATGTGAAAATTTTGCAGATGGATAGAACATCTATACTTGGAGATACCATAGATTACATGAAAGAGCTTCTAGAAAGGGTCAAAAAGATGCAGGAAGAAGAAACAAAAGTGGGGTTCAATCATTTGAGTATAATGAACAACATGAAGGAGCTAAAGCCAAATGAAATGATGGTGAGGAAATCCCCCAAGGTAAAATGTGATTCCTGTTCTCAGTTTCTACAATATTAATCCATTAAATGAACAAAAGTAAATTCAAGACTTATGTTCCTAAACACAGTTTGAAGTTGAGCATAGTGAAACTGATACTCGAATCGACATCCGGTGCGCCACCAAACCAGGGTTGCTCCTATCAACCGTGAACACGTTGGATGCACTAGGCCTCGAGATTCAACAGTGTGTGATAAGTTGTTTCAATGATTTTTCAATGCAAGCTTCTTGCTCAGGGGTATGTTTTGAGAAATTCGTGTCGATGTGGAAGTCTTGAATTCGCCATCGACGGCACTTTCATCGATAACAAGTGTTTCTTCTAATGTATCAGGTTGCAGAGCAAAGGAACTTGATGAGCTCTGAAGACATAAAGCAAGCATTGTTCAGAAATGTAGGCTACGGAGGAACATGTCTATAGAGTTCATAAGATTGCCATCTAACAAAGCCTTTAAGGGATGAGATTCATCTGAATCTGTAACAACATTTTCCTATTCATATAAGCTCATTTATCAAATCAATCTCACAACCCGCCCTGAATTAATGTTACCCTTGTTGGAGTATGTTGTAATATAACTATCATTTCTCTCTCTTTGACACTGTTAAATGGTTGAAAAAAGAAAACAATTTGTTCATTTTTTAATGGAACAAGGATGTATTTGAGAGAAAAGTGTTCACAGATTAGTGCTCCATCAATGTTTCTTTCCTTTATTTTCCTATTGCTGTGGTAGACATTACCAACCAATAATTGAAGTTCAGATTAGCAAGAGATGGTGACTGTTTGTCTCTAAATCATGAAAAGTGTATATTAATTGCACAAAACAAACCACACTAAGAAAAGCAACACTTCTCCTTAGGACCAGCAAATATATACACCAGTAACAACATTTTCTACATGTCAAATTTTTTAGGCAACAAGTCACTTTCCAAAGTATATCATCAAGCCAACCGTTAGTATTTTTTTCCAATAGTATTACGTGATTATAAAATAATATGTGTTTATAATCTTTCCTAGTCATTGATAATACACATACCCTACAGATGTAGCTACTGGATTTGGGAATCTCGAGGAAGAATAACACTTCTTTTACTATTGAGACCGTCCTATGAGAGAAAGGAACTGAAAATTCAAGGCGACCATTCTACAGTGCAATTTATAATTATTATACTCGAATCTTAGGGTGAACGTCGACACTAATATGCCCAAATTTATTTCTAAAGTATTAAACAAATCATATTTGAACGTATAAAAAGCAAGTACTTTACCAAAAAGTACCTTTTTCTGTTTATTCTCTTCTTTGGGCAAATCAGTGATATTACCAAGCTTAAATATCTACTGCAGTTTCACCTCTATTATTTTATTGTTTAGAGCATGCTCCCAAAATACACTATTTCTTCTTAGTATTATCAAATATAAACACTGTATCATTTGAAGCAACAGCTAATGGAACTTGAGCACTTCCTTATGGTCGGTTTGAAAAAAATATGTTAAAGAAACGAAATTTGTTTACAGCATGGATTTTCCAAGGCTTGATTTAGGCTAAACAACAGGTTCACAAGTCAACAGCTCTAACAAGGCATGCTAATTATAGCAGATCCTGATATAACTAAGAGAATTTATTAAAGCTGAAGATCACCTTGATCGTCGCCACTATCAACACCATCGTTATCCAAATCTAAAGAGTCATCGACAGAAGTGGTCTGCTGGTTTTGCAGCTGGTTAATAACATCTCTAGTGTCAGAAACCAATTTGTTTTTTGCCACTCGAACCTTATCGATTCCATGAATTCGAGATCCCAAATTCTCCTTTCCAAGATCTTTTCCTGCTTGTGCGGATTCTGCTTTTCTCTTGGCTTCCCTGCAATGTAGCTGGTCGATGTACTTCTCATGTAAGCCTCTGTTTTTTATCTGCTTCAACACTGGGGGACTAATAAGGGCTTCTTTAGAAGTGTTGCCAAGTTTTGAATGGGGCTTCTTAGAACTAGAAGATCTCTCATGACATTTTTGGAGAAGTCCCTGTTTTGCCAATAACTTTGTTGGGGTGGAAAACGCATTGTTTGGTGGAGCATGCATAGATGAACTTGTGTTGGATTCAAGAATGGAGAATAGATCAGCTTCATCACCATGGCCCTCATAACATTGCTTTTGCAACAAATGTCTCACTGTTTTTTTCTGTACAAGAAGGCTTTTATGTTTACTACTCCTAGACCTTTTATTCTTGGGTGAAACGGGTTTAAGCAATTTGCTTGCAGAGAATGATAAGTGTTCGATGAGTGATAAGTCTTTTCTTTTTGACCTCGATCGAGGCTGGGGCTGAGTTGGAGTTAAATGGTCAGAGTGGATCTTATCAAAGCAATCCTGTGCAGATTTTCCCGGAACCTGAAATAGATTTTTTACTCTTAATCAAGTCCTGAAACAATAATATCAGGAGAAAAAAGGTACATTCTAGGTAAAACACATCAACATATGAGGTAGATCAGCTAAAGCTTACGGATAGCAAATGGAAGACTATTTGACACTGAAACACATCACCGCAGTGAGTCTTCGGATAAGAAAAGGCTTATAAACACAGATGCTACTTAGTAAATTTATGAATAATCATTCAAATATAATACAAATGCACCACAAAGTGCTGCCTTCACATCTAAACAGACTGAATGTAACGTAGCATAATAGTCTGACTTTGTTTGCTCTAATGCTGTGATTTTACAATTATATTTCCTTTCATTAATAGAATGCTATATTTTCCATAAGGAGAAAACTTGACCATACAGAAACAGTTATTTTCAACATCTAATCCATTTGATATTCAACTCGGGTGCATTTATAGAACTAGACAAGAAGTTTAGATGATTATAGCATAAACAAAACATTTTTTTCTTGAAATAAATGTCAAGCATGTCGAAGACAGCGTAAGAAAAATAGATATATCTTATGTTCATAACACTATGCATTTTCATGAATGATTAAATAAAATTAAACATATAGGAAACAAACGGAACATATAAGCAGCTTGTAAGTTCAAACGTCACCCTAGTATATTTCGGAAAAAGACATCATAATTCATGGATTCGCTTCAAGAGCAAGCGGTGGATATCAATTTTCACAGTAAGACAACTTAAACCTTTACGTTTTACCTCCTTGATCTTTGAATTCACTCAAGATTAATAAAATGAGGCATATATGAAATCAAATGTGAGCCTTAAATCATCTCTTAGTATTGAAGCCAAAGTTAGTTGATGAAAAAGAAAAAAAAATTATTAAAAAGAGATGAATTTCACTTAAAGACCTGTAGCTATCAACCAATAACCAGTACAATTCATTCAGAACAAATGCAGTACAGTTACTCTTTTTTTTATTCTTCAAGTTCGGGCATTACACACCTTAGTTTTAAAGAATATGCACACCAACCTACAACACTATGTTATGTAAGAAAATCCAAGAAAATGAACTCCAGATATCAAGTAATGGGGGAAAATACCAGCTTGGAAACCTTCTTCCAGAAATTAGGAGTTGGTTTTGCCGAAAGATAGGCTTTTTGCAAAATCAATTCCTGCTCCCTTGTCCACCCTCGAACATTTCCATCAGCTTCCACGTCAGGCTTTCCCTTTCTCTTAACCCCAAAATCTTCATTTCTTTCATTTTCTCCCCCTTCCACCGAAACCGCTTTCAAACCAACAATGATTTCCCTTTTCTCTTCACCCACCAGTTCCTCCTCTGCACTCTTCTTTTTCCTAGACTCGGCCTTCTTCGTCCCCGAAAAACTGATTTCCTCCGGCTTGTTAGACAAAGACACACTGTTCAATCTTGGAGATCTTCGCAACCCTGACATTGAATTCAAAAAGTTTTCTGAAAGCTTACTCGATGCACTGCTGAATCTCGGGGATCTTCGCAAAACAGGCTTCGGATTCTCACCACTCGTTGAACCGTTGCTTGATGTTATCGGCTTCTCGGAAATAGGGGTATTAAAATCTTGTGGTTTTATGGGTGCTTTTTTATTGAGAAGCCTTGCAGATCTCCGGTGTGGGGTTTGAGAAACGGAGTTTCTTGTAAGCATTTTTGCAAACATTCTGAGGTTCTCTCTTTGAGAGGGAAAATTGGGTAGGCTTCCGCTGTTCAAATTTAGGCAAACACAGAGGAACTCGAATTTGAAGTGGGCTTTGCACTCGCACTATGGGTTTTTTTCAAATAGGGTAAATGGGTAAATTATTTAGAAAAATAAGATAAATAAAAGTTTATTTTGAGATATACTGTATTTTTTTTATAGCATTTATAGAACTTTCACGTTTAAAATATTTTTATTTAAACTCGTCACTTCGAGATAAATGAGTCCTAGATTGAGAGCAGATGCTTGCGGAGGTTTGTGCCGAATGAAGACTATATCAATATCATACCCGTCTAATCTATGTTTTAATTGCGAGAATAGTTATTGTTCATCTTTACTACTAGTTTATGATGACCGCTCAATGTGCTATGAAATTTAGTGATAGTAGATACATTATATAATCCAATGTAGAAACCTGTAACTCGGGGTGAGCAACGAAATCGAGAACATTATATACTCCAATGTAGAAACCTGTAACTCGGGGTGAGCAACGAAATCGAGAACACTGAAAAATCGACACGAACTGAGTAAAATTGTTCGGTTCGATTTTCGGTTAGTTAAAGTCTCAATTCTATTGATTCGGTTCGGGTTTTTCATATGGAACTCATTTGTTCCATATTGAACCGAATAGATAATTTTTTTAAAAAAATTATAATTTCAAGTAAATTTTTCATTAAAAAACCGATAAATCGAACTGAGTACACCGAACCGAACTAAAAAAATCAGTTTCATATTATTCGATTTTTTAACCATTCGATTTCGATTTAAATTCTAAAAACCCATTTATTTCGATTCAGTTCAATTTTTAGTAAAAAATCGAACAAAACCTAACACTCCCGGACCTATAATGTGTTTGAGGTGTCCCGGGTTTTGTGGTTTGATCATAGGCCAGGCCTACCTCCTGTTTCTTCTGTCAATGACTTGCACCGTACCGAGACATAACAAATATGATATAAAACGACGCCGTTTCAATTATAACGTGAACTGAAATTCCAATCTATACAAATTTGTAAAATTACAAAAACGACTTTGACAAGATGCATGAATGTGTGGATGAATTGATAAAGGCTGTACATTTCCCCCCACTAGGAATAAGTAAGAGTTGTTGACAAATTTTTGTTTCTATGTTCCAACTTCGTGGTCTGATGTATGCATATAGTTTGGGTGTTTTCATGCTCCTCGTGATTGCAAATTTTGATTTTGTAGAAGGGACAACGCGAGCCGCACTTACGACTAAATCCCGTGATCGTTGATCGGTATAACTGTTGTATTTAACAGGTTAGTTAATCGAGTTGTTAGTTTAAACAGTTTTAATTAATCAAATCATTAAAAATGATATTTAACAGTTAAGATTACGGTTATAAATTTGGATAAACGGTTAACTAATATAATTATATTGGGAGAATGTGCATACTTATACTGGTATAAGTATGTGTTAGGGGCAACACTTTTTGGGAGATGTACATATTTACCAGAGACGTGGTTAAGGGTATGCAAAGTGCGCGATGGCACAAGGCTCCAAAAAATAGGGGCCCTGAAATCGAGTATATCTATCAGTTGTTGCTATTAAGAAGCATAAAAATAGGTATAAAGTAGTGGTTAGATCATTGGGCTCATGACTTTGTTGATCCTAAGTTCGAATCTCATTAACAAGCAAAATTATTTTTGGGAAAACAATGCAAGTGGGTTTGCTCAGTGTAATACAGCTGTAAATTTTTTATTATTTCAGAAAAATAAGTACGAGATTTAATGGCCCCTTTATAAGAATTTGCATAGGGCCTCCAACAACCTAGCCACGACCCTGATACTTACACCGGTAAAAGTATGTGTTAAGTGTTGCACTTTTTTGTAGTGAATTATAAAACTTTAAAATGTTCATGTTGTGTTATTTTTGAAAGATAATTGCAATAATTAACCTGTATCTAAACTGTTAATAATGATTAATCATTCGTGATTAACCGTTAATGATTAGGTTACGATTAAAAAAATATCGTAACCATCATAACGGTTAATTGATTGTTTAGGCTAACAATATTGTTAATCATCCATGAACAACCATATTTACAACAAGCGAGTGGACCATCTGATAAGATTAGTTCAGTTCAAGGACGGATGTATAATTTTTTGCTAGAGAGACCGAATTTATAAAATTCTAAGAGAGAATGAAATTATAAAATTTGAAGAGGATCATGCCCGTATTTGAGCATGGGCAAGAGGGGCACTTGCCCGGGCCCAAAATTGTGAAATTCATATATAATTAAAAATTAATAAATTATTTGTTTAGTCATCTATCTATTATTTAATTTTTGTTTTGGTTATTCAATTTTTTATTAAAAAAATATACTTAACGTTACATTTTAATTTTATTGGTTATTTATCATTAAAAAATTAATTTTATTGGTTATTTATCATTAAAAAATGAAGAACGATATTGATGTGATATTTTAAATTATTTTTTGTTTTTTGTTAAAATTATATTTCTTATTTTTTTACTATTAGGTGTGCACATTGAGCAACTGTTCATGCCCCTCATTTTGTATGGGGCTCCTAATTTTTTTATAATATTGTTTATTTTTATAATTTAACCCTTTAATTTTCTTTAAATTTAATTTTTTATCATTATAATTGAGGTCCCTAATTTTTATAATCCTACTTTTTATCTTTATAATGGAGGCCCTTAATTTTTTTCAATCCCATTTTTTTTTACATTTATAATTGATTATCCTAAGTTTTTCAACCACACCTTGTACCTTTATAATTAAGCTCATGATTTTTTAAATCTCACTTTTTACATTTATAATTGAATCTCCTAATTTTTCAATCCCATTTTTAACTCATATAATTTAGGCCCAAATTTTTTTTCAATCTCACTTTTTACCTTTAAAATTGATACCCATATTTTTTTAAATCACTTCTTACGTTTATAATTGTGGTCCCTAATTTTTTCAATCATATTTTTTATTTTTATAGTTTAAGCCCCTAATTTAATCATTTTTATACGATTTATTAACATAATATTAAATTAATTAATACTTTTTTTATTAACATAATATTAAATTAGTTATTTAATGTATTAGAATATACTTTCATTTTATGAGGGTCTATATTTTAGTTTCGCTCAGGGTCCCGAAAATGTATGAGATAACTATGTATTTATTAGATAGTTTATTAAACATACTAAAAAATAATTTACAAACAATTTTATTTATTTTTCTTGTTCTTATAATTTAATTTTTTTCAATACTTATTATTGGAAACCTAATTTTTATATTCGCCACGTGCCACTAAAATCTCAGAAACGGACATGAAGAAGACAGAAATAAATTTTCAATAAAAATATAAAAGTTGTAGACACCCGTTTTTGTCCGGGTCTTTTTTGTATATTATTATTATCGTTATTTTAATTATTATTATTAGTGTTATTATTATTATTTTTATTTACATATTACATTCTGTTTCCAGGCCCAGTACAAAGATTCCGGAGCCCAACACCAAAGCCCAATATACTAATCCAATCATTAGACCTGGACTCTACCCACTGGACTGTGACCTAACCCGATGTGGCCCATTTGGGGAAACCCTAAACACATTAGGGTTTTAACCCTAACTCATCAGCCAGCCAGCCAGCCGCCTCTGGCTATTTAGCTTCTCCAGCCTTGCGTGGTCTTCACCAGTCACTCCCGAGCCGAGTGAGCTGCCGCCGACGATCCCAAGCCACCGCCGTTGTCATCCAGCTTCCAAACAGTAACTGAACGTCATCCACAGTGCCCAAATCAGTCAAAAATATACCAAATCTGAAAACCCATTAAAATAGTCCTAAATTCCTAAATATTCGGCTGTCCTAAATCCCTAAATATTCGGCTTTTGGTACTAACCCGAGCCTAGGAACATCATTCCTATCAAATAGAGATGATGATTCTCAGCGAAGGACCATAAAAAACAGACATGCAATGACAGAAGGGGACGATGGAGGGGGTTCAAAGAAAAGAAAAATGAGATAGGGGGAGTTCTTTTCAGAACCAAAAAGAAAATATAAAGAAAACAGAGAGAAAAAGGGAGAAGAGAAAAGCTTACCGAGGAGGGAGGTTCGGCGAAGGCATGCAAGGAGTTCAAAGGTCACCGTGTCTTGTTGTTTCGAGAGGTAAATCGGTAGATTTAGGAGACTGGGGTAGTGTTTAAGCAAAGTGGAGTGGGGTTTTGAGTAGTAGGGGTTGAGATGTTTCTTTTGAGGGTTGTTGGGCATCTCCGGCCGCCGTGCGCCGCCGTCGTCGCCGCCGTGAGCGCCACCGGCGACGGCGTTACTTCTTTCTTTTATGTGGGAGTTGAGAGAGTTCTGAAACTCTCTCTCTCCCTCTGTTTTATTAATTAAAACCAAATGAGAGAGGGGAAGCAGAGAAAGCCCGATTTTGGGCTTATAATATTCAACCAAAACGGCGCCGTTTCAGCAAGGGACCTTCAGCGTGTTTTCATCTTATGGGGTAACTACGGTTTAGGTCCCTCCTCGTATGTAATCTGTTATTTTGGTCATTAATAAAAATTATGATATTTTACTTTGGGCATTTATCTTTCGATATTTATGATTTAGCCACTGAGTTCATGAATTATAATATTTTCTTTGATGTTCGAATTTGGTCATATTATTTTCCGCATGCTTCATTTGATCACTGTTTAATATTTATTGTATTTAGGGCTAATTGTTATTTTCCCTTGCATGTTTTTATTTCATTTATTTTAGTCCCATATGTCTGTAATCCTATATTTAAGTATTTAGAGTTTTGACTGATGATTTTGTGTAGTATTCATTTTAGTCCTTACTCTTTTATATTACTACTTTCGTGAATATTTGAATCTGATCTCGTATTGTGTATTATTTTATTTTAATCACTGAATATAACTTTGAATTTTTGAATTTTTGGCTTCAAGTTCTAATTGCTTGTATTTTAGTCATTTTCTGTTCTTTAATATAT